AGTATCTGTGAACAAATCTGTCTAAGCAATTCAGACTCAAAGTGAATCCAAATGCCGCAGTTTCACCATACCAGCTTACTTCCTGTGTTTTTCAAATCAACCCGAGGCTGCAATTCTACACTCTACCACTGAGCTAAGACATGGACGTTCTTCTGAGACAGCCGTTGCACAGATATGTTTTAACAGCGTTTCATTGGAAACAAATCTTCTTTTGCATGAGGGAGCTCAGCGTTCTTTTATCACTGAAGAATTAAGCGGAGAAAATACAAATTAAAGCAGACCGCGAAAGTGAAGTCGTTTCATTTAGCATCTTTTGGCTGATACTAGCCAAAGAGTACGACACATGAGGAATGTTGTATACAACCTTATTACAGACGACAATGAGAAAAATATGCATTGATGTTTTGATGTTCCCAAAGATAGCCGTTACCGCTGCGAACATTAATCAAGAATATTTCAGCCCTCCCATACTTCGCATGGTTTAAAGCTAGCTCATCCAGTTACAAATGACCAGAAATTTTCGAGCATCTCGTTTCTTGATTGGAGCAGATTCATATTGGAAAATTGTTTCAAGATAAGGTAGTCCGAGGGAATGGCGTCCAACAGCGGTGCAGTCGAGACCTTGGATATTCTTATATCCGGTCCACTTCGGTTTCCAACTTTCAAGCGTCAAGACACACCAAAAACTTCCGGTTTCTACACTTACAGCGTTCCACATCCCAACAGCCTCCAGTTCCCGCACAAGAAAACTGTCCACCCATTTGTTTGAACTTTCTAACGTCCTCCCCAGATTCCCTTTGATATTGAGAGATTTGGAAGCTTGAGTCTCTTGTATATCATCAAGAAGAAGAGAACCCCTTGAGGCGTACATACCTTAGAAAACTTACCAACGTATTCAATCACCTACAATAACGGACGTTACACAGCCAAACTGCCTTTGGAAAGAAAGATCCGCTTATTCTTTACCAAAACGATCTTATGACATCACCAAGAACGCCACTCGAACAACGTAATTCAGCGCTCTTAGTCAAGATACCTAGTAGTCTACAAACGCTTATGGCAGAAATAATCCACATTATCAAGAAAGAGGTTTTATTGAGACGTAGAACATGGTATTCACACCCAACACAAGATACATTACATCCCACCACGCGTTCAAGATAAGACTCAGTCACAACCAACCGATAGCATCGTATATGATTGTAGTTGTCATCAGTCCACGTAACCAACAAGCTTAAATGGGACCTGTTTTGAAGTTTACGCCACCAGAGCTTAAACGGATCTCACTCAAATTCTTATCCGTTTTCGGCTACATAGATATGCTGTTTACTACCGACATAGAGAAGGCTTTTCTACAAATACAGCTTGCAGAAGAAGACAAGAGATGTAACAAGATTTCTTTGGTTAAGTGACCCCAAAAAATCTCGACAGTACTTTGATCACCTACAGGTTATAAGCAGTTCTGTTTGGCTTGCAACATGTTCCCCGTTCATTCTTAATGCAACGATTTTAAAACATCTAGCAAGTAACAGTGATGTATGGGTCAGTAGTATCTTTAAGAAGAAGATTTGTACGTGGACAAAACGTTTTGTCAAGCTTTGAAGATGAAAATCAGGCACTTTTGCTTACTTCCATTGATTCACGAAAGCTTATGTCGTCTGCAAACTTTAACACTTACGCTCTTGGAATTCAAATAGCCAGAAACTACGAAATTTAGCCCTAAACTACGACTTACAAGATAGAGATAAAATCACAAAAGATACTTGGAATGCGATGGAATACAGAAACAGATATGTTTGACTTTCCAACAAACCTATATACCAGTCACAGATTCTACAACGAAACGAGAAATCTTGCGACAGACGTCAAAAAAATGTTTCGATCCTCTTGGTCTACTTAGTCCGGTTACGGTACGTGCTAAGATTATATTGCAACAAATTTGGAAGAAAAGTTATCGATTGGGATACTCCACTTCCAGCAAATATAAAAAGAGGTGGAAAAAATCTTGCTGCAGATTTGACTACACTATCCACCAACTCAATACAGACGTTGCTATTTTCCCGCAGCAGACGAGAAAATTAGACAAGCAGACGACCATTCACATACTACCTTACACGTGTTTTGTAGATGCTAGCCAGTCATCATATGGAGCTGCAGCTTACCTTTCCAATGGTCAAAATTCATCACTAATTATGGCAAAGAATCGTGTGGCACCTCTTTAAAAACTTACGTTACCCCGACTAGAATTAATGGCAGCTGTAATAGATGCTCGACTTTTTAAGCCACATAAAGAAGACATTAAAACACACAAATTTCTATCTTTGGTCAGACAGTCAGATTGTTTTACATTGGTTAGAAACAGTTAAAACTTTACCCCGCTTCGTGAGGAACAGAGTCGAAGAAAATACAAAAACTGACCGGGGGGACCGGAAATGGCAATACTGTCCAACCAACTTTAACCCAGCAGAATTTACTTACCCCGTGGTATAACAGCGACCCAGTTTGTATCAATAACAGCCTTTGGCAATATGGACCATCCTGGATCAACAATCAATTAAAATGGCCTACATCGGGAATCCAAAAGATGCAACAGTGCTCACAGCCTTCCTTATATGAACACTTCCGGTCATGAAACCAATACTTCCGGTCCAGACCCTAGCACTATCAGTACTGTTCCACAACTTTAGCGAGCAAGGCATTCATAGAGTTATTGATATTGACAGATTCGGTTCATACCAGAAACTATTACGTGTTACTACATATGTGATGAAATTCATACAAAACAGCAAAAGTTCTAAAAAGAGACTCGAACCCCTGTCCCCCAATGAATTACTTCAAGCTGAGAAATTATGGCTAATAGACTGTCAGGTCCCAGTACTTATCCAGCAGAGATCAGCAACATGAGATCAAGTAAATCCCGCTCACAGCTTGTCAAACAACTTCGACTATTTTTAGAGTAACGATGGCGGAATCCGTTGCGGAGTCGAATTCACAATGCCCCACTGGTCGAGAGTTCGAAATCCCTTACCTGTTACCATCAAAAACATAAGTTGACCCGTTTGATTGTACTTTATTACCATCAAAAATTACTACATGCTGGAGTAAATTCTACAATTACTTATATACGACAGAAGTATTGGATACCTGCCATTCGTCAATGTGTAAAGACAATTCTTCGCAAATGTGTCACTTGTCGGAAGGTAGTTGGCCAAGCATACTCACCCCCAGATCCTCCTCCGTTACCCAGATATCGAGTAGAAGATACAGTGCCATTTACAGTGACAGGTGTAGACTTTACAGGCGCACTTTATGTCAGAACTAAAGACGGAATGGAATCAAAAGCATATATTTGTTTATTTACGTGTGCTTCCACACGAGCGGTGCACTTAGAACTCGTGCCAGATTTGACCAGAAGACTCCTTTCTACAAGCATTTTAGAAGATTCAGCAGCCGAAAATCTTTACCACATGCATCATGATCTCTGATAATGCTTCAACATTTATGGCTGCATCCAACCATATAACACGTTTGTTCGAGTCCGACATGTACATGACACACTTACCAGTCATGGTACCACATGGAAATTCATTCCTAAGCGTGCATCCCTTGGTATGGAGGATGGTGGAAAGCTGATTGGACTCACAAAGACAGCACTCAAGAAACCCTGGGCCGTACCTACGTTACATACGACTCTTTGCAGACTGTCATAACCGAGATAGAAGCCGTAATGAATGACCGATCCGTTAACATATGTCTCATCCGGCAATCGCCCAGAACCAGAACCATTAACACCATCCATCTTTTATATGGTAGACGCATTACTACATTACCGTATCCTGACACTGTTGATGAAACGGACCTAATTTGAGCCTTGGGAAAAAACAGAACATTATACAACGTGCCAAAGTTCAGATTAAAATCATAGAAGACTTCCGTAAGAGATGGAGACATGATTACCTAACTTGCTCTTCGTGAACAACATCGTACTTCCGGGAAAAAAATAAACAATCCATATCAGTTGGTGACGTAGTACAAGTTCACGATGACATACCACGTGCACAATGGAAATTGGCGGTCGTTGAACAACTCGTGCACGGGAGAGATGGACTTGTTCGGTCGGCGAAAATTAGAACAGACAGTGGTGTTACCAATAGACCGATAGTGAAACTTTTTCCTTTGGAAGTTACAGAACTTTAACTATGAAATAATATTCATGCATAGTGACACTTCAAAAGACTGTATTAATAACGATAATAACCATAATATTTTTGACAAATGAATGCATTAAAGACGATACTTACTTATTTAAATTACTCTTTGATATTGCTGATAAGTTATTTCTGAACATACTGCTTAAATATTCTTAAATCTTTTGTGTAATAAGTGTTAAACATTTCGCGGCCCCCAGTATGTCCGCAAGAAAACTACATATATTTACGCTATTATCTACGTTACGTCTTACCGCGCTATTTTGACGTCAACGTCACTTCTGACGTATGTTGTTATTGTTTATATATTACTGTTGAGATTTTGTACACATTGAATCGAGAGTCAATACAGATCGAACCTACACAACGCCTTTGTATTATTACTTCAAATATACGAAACCACTTCCACACCGATGTCAAAATAATAATCATTTTTGCAGAAAGGCTTAGCCTATAACTGGGTATATATGCTGGCATGTTAATCGTGAATCCTGTCAGTAGAACTTGCTTTTAACTATATTGACCATCATTGACTCGGTTTGCTGGCCTAATTGTTGCCATAAAACGATGGCGGTGAGGATCCCCGAGGATTACTGGGTACGGCTGTAGACATTACTTCGCAAGGACCAGGTGTTCTTTAATGACTTACAAACAATTCATTTTTAAAAGTTTTATTTTCATATAAATAAGAATATTATATAGATGTGTTTATTTTATTAATCAATCTACATACATTCTTAAACAACAAAATATGCTATTAACATATCTTAGTTGTTTAAGACTTTACTGACAGACCATACTAATCACATAAAACAATGAAAACAAACACAAGGTTATCTCCCTTCATAAGGCACTTTACTCCACAATAATTAAATATAACTCGTACAAAATAAATAATTTAATAAAAGCTCAGACACTTACTTTTTTCCAAGATATTTACGAACATATAACTTGTACAACCGAAGATATTAAATATATAAACTGAGGCTCTTACTTTCTAAAATATTTACATTTAACTTGTACACATTAAGTGATTAAATAAAAACTTAGTAGTACTTATTTATCACAATAATTACACGTAAGTTGTACAAAACAAGTAATTAAAAATAAGCCTAGGCACTTACTTTTCCCAATATCTACATATAACTTGTGCAAACTAGGTGATTAAATATATGCATAGGCACCTACATTCCCGAATAATTACATATAACTTGTACAAACCAAGTGATTTAATAAAAGCTTAGACTTACTTTTTCCAATAATTACATATAACTTACACAAAATTAAGTATAGGCATTTGCACTAACTTTTCCCAAAATTACATATAACTTGTATAAACCAAGTGATATTATATAAGCTTAGGCACTTACTTTCCGAACAATTACATTTAACGTGTTGAAATTAAGTGATAAAATATAAATTAAGGTACTTATTTTTGCATTGTAATAGCAAAGATAAGTCAATAAAACCCTACCCTCAAGGCCAGTGTATTTGCTGAGCTTATAACATTTAAAAAAAAAGCCTTTAATTACTGTTATAGAACACATAACTTATGCATTAAAGAAATTAATCCTGGCTCTTGAAATCCACAAGAAAGTATTGTCTAAAATATACATAAAGAATATATATACATAAAGAAATAAGTCACTACACTGTTTGATAAATCTACAGGGTAAAACATTTATAAAAAAATGTTAAAAAATACATATAAGATTGCCTTAAACAAGCAAAGATTTTCATGAATAATGAATATCTAAGCGTTTCTACCATAATTGTATATAAAATCTTCATAGCAAAAAGCATGTACACTTATACATGTAAATACATATAGATCAACAGTTAATCTTTTTTCTAAAGTTTCATTTATGTTATAAGCAACTATTACTGCAGAAAAATGAACTAATAAAAACACAACCGTGAAACTTTCATCAAACTCATACAATAATTCATGTAATACAGAACTGAATTCTTAAAGGACGCTATATACTAGGCTTTATTATCAACTTAATAGTAAAATCACTGTTGTTTTACAATTCTAAATGTTATATCATTTAACTCTTAAATTGCGGAAAAAAATATGAATTTAAGTAGAAATATTTAGATTAGACTTTTTTTATTACAAATGTTTTCTACACAAGTTTCATTACGGCTGCTATTAGAGTCGCGGTTTCATTTGCGTTAACTTTTCTAAAGTTTTAGCCTCAATTAAAGGAGTTTTTAGAGTTCTTAAACATTTGACAGCGGTCATGGTGATTTGCGATCGTATTGGAGAAAACAGGTACAAGTAGGACACTTGTGATACACAAATTATTTTGTCTTTTTACATTTAAACCAGGAATCAGAAGCATGCACATGGTACTGGGACGAAACGTTGATTATTGTGAAACAATTTGCTTCCGAGTTTGTTTTCAATAAGCCGGAAACCAGGAGTAAAGCTCTAATCATCCCTGTATGTAACTGAAGCTGAACTTCTGTAATGAAAAAAAGCTAACATTATAATATTTCGTTACAGTACATTTCCTTAGATTTCCTTTATATGTTTTGGGTGTTTACATTTTAAAGTGATTTGTCAGAATCATCCATGTTGAAAGCACTCGTATGTATCACGTTCAAGATTCCAGACACAATGGTCCGATAGTCAGCTACATGACTTGTATATTAAATTATTTATGTATGAGTGGACATCAAGTTTGATCCACCGACCTTCCATAAATAATTATTGTGACTCTTATTTAAAAGAACAACATTCAAGTATAGATCCAATTAGCTCTCTCATAAAAAAGCATTATGAATTTAACTATGAAGGAACGAGCTGACATCCAAGTAGACCCACCGTGTTCTCTCCTATATAATCAATATAATTTAATTATCAAGTAACGAGCGGACATCCAAATAGATCCATCAAGCTCACACCTATAGTAGCATTATGAATTTAATTATTAAGGAACGAGCGGGCATCCAAGTAGATCCACCGACCTTCCGTAAATAATCATTCTGGATTAAATTTTGAAGGAACAAGCGGATATCCAAGTAGATCCACCAATCCGAAAAGATCACTCGAGCTCTACCTATATTATAATTCTAAATTTATTTAAGGAACGATTGTACAACAAAGTTGATCACCCGAACTCTCTCTCTCTCTAACCATTTGGTCTTTCATTCCAAAGAAACAAGAGGACATCTCAAGATCTAAGTACCGAGCGTTTGTAGATAATTAGATAATTATCAATCTTATTATCTTGAATAATAATTATGATATACATTTCATTCAGCCTATCTAAATTTCACAGACGCGCAGTTTCTTATAAAAAAAACAGTACCGTACCTACAAAACTGGAAAAAATCCTATTATTTCTATTTAATAAGTCTACGATTCAACGGAAATAAACTATACCTAGGGACTAGGAGAAGAACTAATTATTCTTTAAATAAAACCTTCGCGAATTGTTAAAACAGGCACATGGTCAACGGAGGCCACCTTCGAATACCATTTTACTATCTCCATTCGCAGTTTATTGAGCGAAACCATTTAAGATTATATAAGAAGTATTACCTTGGCAAGAAAGAAACTAGTCTATGTTGATGAAGTAGTCTATTTTCATTGTTTTGATGTCACCATTGAATCTGCATCACAAATATTCCACGGCCGCTGAAAAGAGATAGTAGAAATATGTTATGACCGAATGTTCAATATTTTGTTGTCTGTGAAAAATATGTAATGAAGACAAAACATAAAAATAAAATAAAATGTGCTGTCTTAAATAAAGTATTTCCTAATTAATCAAATGTCTATTTAAATTAATCTGCAACTAAATATACTGTTCGTGTACCTTTTGAAGGCACATTCATGCAAATTGGTCATGGTCTATACTGTTTGTAATTTCCAATTTTCTCCCAAAATGATGATGGTTTCTGTGCTGATTGGATCAGAAACAAGTTAAGAAAGAGTTAAATTACATACATACATACATACATACATACATACATACATACATACATACATACATACATACATACATACATACATACATACATACATACATACATACATACATACATACATACATACATACATACATACATACATACATACATAAACAATTAAGATAAATATTAAAGACTCTTACCTGTCAAATATTTATATCTCCTAATAAATGTTTTACGAATTTTATATCAATTAATTCCGTAAAAAACGTCAAAATGTTTTTATTTGAAAAATATAACAACTGTCTCTTAATTAGCTTCCAAATTGTTAATCATAACCCTAAATGTAAATAAACTAAATCGAAAAAGTTAAGTTTCATGAGTCTATTTTTTCTGAGTGTTTTCATTTAAAAGTATTGAATTATTCTCTTTAGCTAATTTCACAAGTTATTGTTTTTGTCTATTCTTTGCTTGTTTTTATTGTTTTGAACTCAATCTCCCGCCTGACGTCTCGTATCACATGAAAAGTTTGTGATCTCCGAATATTTTCTCTTACACATTCATATAATGTTTCCGGTTCTATGGCGGCCATCTTCACTGTAACTGACTGCGGCAGATTTTCCAGCACAGTTATAAAGTTCTGTAAACTTCCTACAGACATTTCTATATACCTCAACTCCACACGTTCAATATTCAACATGTCACGTGACAGTAACAATGAACTTTCATCTAGATTTATGTACCTCAACGTAACATTAACTAACGATGGTGTTGATAGATTTAATTGTAGCCTAGGTAACAGCTGCAAGTATAACTTTGATAGAGTTGAATGTTGAGACAAGTCCAAGTTCCATCTCTTACAATCATGGCGCCAGTGTTCTTTACAGTGAAACCTCGTCAATGTTAGCTCTTTCATTGATTTCTGACCAGAGATAAAATTGAAAAATGTTTCCAGTTTTTTGTGAGAGAACGTGAACTGTTCAATATCTAGATATTGTAAGTTGTGACATCGCGCCAAGTTTTCACTCAGATTTCCTTCATCATTTGTCCATTTACCACACCGCAATTTTACGTGCCGTAGACAGGGAACCAATATCTGATTTATCTCAGCCTCCTTCTCCCTGTCACCAAAATAGTAAAGTTTCTGTATATGACTGAGATCTGTGAGAGCGAATAAATCTATAATTTCACGTAAACTGCTGGAAGTATATCTGATGTCTATATAAAGTGATTTTACGTTAGTTATATTTTGTTTTAACAAACGTTGTAACTGCCCACTGTGCATGGTGTCCTTGTCAATGAAGAAATCTTGTAAACATAATTGAATATTTTCACTTTCAGGCATTTCTTGTAAACACGACATGAACATTTTCTGTATGTTATACAATGGATTATTGCACATGAAGCCCTCGCCATCTGTCCTAGTTCTATAGTCGCGTGTTATCTCGTCTTCATTTATCACAGACATCAAATCATTTGATATTGCACACATCAGGTCAGCATTCAGTCCACTTATAAATTCACAAATTTTTGACATGTCCAAAATGTCTTGAATATTTCTACATTTGTCTACAAATTTTGTCTGAGCGTTACTTATAAATATGGCGGCAAAGAATTCTTGAATTTTTTTGTGAGCAAATGATACTTTAATAATTTCATTGATTAAAGTTTTACTTCTACTTTCTGACAATATTCCTGAATGAAAACCTAATTTCATATCGTCTGCTTTGAGATATGTTTCAGCAATCATTCCATCAAATACCAGCGTGTTTTCTTTGTTTTCATTACATAATGTTTTGTAAGCTAGTTCTGCTAATGATGTAATAAGACTGTAAAACTTTTTACAAAATATATGACTTCTGAAATATTCTGGGATATCGCTGACAGACGATTTACGAGACGGTTGAACTTCCGGGTGTTTCTTTGACGTTCTCGATAATAGAAATTCAATAATATTGGTGTAAATTTCTTGTTTTGAATTTCCTATTGAAATGTTGTTACACCATAAGCAAACTATATACATGAGGAGGAGTGGAATCACTTGCATATGCTCTAGGTCACGGTCACGTATCACTCTATTCAAGTCCCGTGTTTTACTCTTCAGTACTCTATCGTCATGGACACCGGTCATTTTTCTTATAGCATTTTCTTCTAGTTGCCGCGCAGAATCTGCATTTAATTGAACCAATTCTACTTTTTTGTTTATTTGACTTGTTTTCAGATTTGCCACACCAAGCTTCCACGGTCGAGTTGTCGTTAGGATAACACAATTATCACGTAGGTACCGATGTGGAATTGTTTCTGTTACTTCGCAACAACTATTTACAGGGTGATTCCATTCATCAAGACCGTCCAATATAATCAAACATTTTTCTCTACATAAAACTTCATGTAGAGATGCTGATGAAGGAAGTTTCTTAGTTATTTGCTGTTCAATCATATCGTCAATATTACAAACAGAGGTGCAGTCTCTTAAGAAAACCAAAAATAAGAACTCAAAGTCAAATAATGTTTTTAACTCGTCGTCTGTAAAACATGCGTAGTTGTCATCATGACAATGAGCTTGACACCACGTGATTGCAAGATATTTTGAGAAAGCAGTTTTTCCTAAGCCTGCATCAGCTAATAGATAGATTTCTTGCTGATCTCCACTTCTGGTTGAAAACAGGTCCCTCAGAGACTCGATCGGTATTTTCTTCTCTTCATTACAAGTTAGGGACTTCTGTTTTACGGCTACTATATCTGGCATCACGTAAAACCCAGCTAGATGTGTCTCTGTTTCTTCAAGAAGCGGTGAGAGAGGCATTGAACTACATCTATGTTTGTAAAATTTGATCAGGAAGCCTTGAAGTTCTGTAAAGGGAGTATAAAAATAATTTTCCGTGACATATCTTTCTATATAAAATAAGTACTGAGAATATTCAGGTGCTAACTAACTTCAATAATGTAAATTTAGGATAAGACATCGTGTACGATGAAGAAGTAAATATGTAATATGACGTTTATATGTGTCACCGTTGTATTAAGTTGAATGTACATGTATGGTGATTATATGAGTGTGGAAATCATACAGCAAACGGTTAATTATACTCGTCGGTTTCAATTAACAAAGTATACTTATCGGTATATACATGTATAATATTTTTGTCTTCATTAATTTAATCAAAACAGCAGTAATTATATGTTATTAATGTATAATTAAAGAAACAATATAAGTTTTTCGTTTATGCACATATAAATTGCATACCTGCCGCACAATAATTTGAAATTGTGTATTCCCGGATAAAAACGGGAGTTTGTTTTTTGACTTGAACATACCACGCGTTTTTGGTTGTTTACAGTTTGGGGGCTATCATGTGAATGTCTTAGCAGGGTGATCTATCTTGTGGGCGGTTAAAAGCAGACTGGAAATTTTAACCCAATATAACTTGACATTCTTAACTAGTTTATAAAATGCAAGTAAAAAAATCAAGGGCTTTACAATATTTTTAGTCGCAGCACATATCTGCTTCTGTTTGTCGATCACATAATTGAAATTATTTTAAAACTAAGAAGTAATGAGAAGTTCGGGAAAATACATGTTAAATAAAAACAAGTAAATGAAGATATATATGAGTATAAGATATACGCTACAACCTATGTAGAGCAACACCTCTGTAAGACAAAGATTTTGGTTGTTTTTGTGAGGTGTTGTACCATACATAAAGGCCAAGTAAATTGTGAATCTTGACTTGCGAAAATGTAAGACTGTTGAAGTAAAAAGGTTGCTGCTCAATAGAGGACCACTATGTAAAGATAGCACTGTATAAATCTAATTCATTATTATTATATTTCAAAGCGATATGACCTTACAAGCAGGAAAATAGCAAAGGGAAATAAATACTCAATACATGAACTAATTCCTCTTGATTTCTCAAAATAAATGGGGAAAAAAGGTTATGATAATTATTTTGGAACATCCTTTGTCGTTCATAGAGATGAATTTCCACCAAATTCGTAAAAAAGCTTTACCGCTTTAAAATTTTTACATTATTGACAAATGACAAATAAATACTTAGACCGTCACGAAGTCGGATTTGTATCGATGATCTGAACGCACCGAAGTTGACATATGAATTTCTATGTCAGTAACTTATAAAGTAGGCATATACAATATCTAGTTCTTACAAATTCACACCCCCCCCCCCCCGCAGCCATTCCCCAAAAGCACATATTAAATCATTTTTCAGTCAGGAACCCGCCTTTAAGTATATATGACATTAGATATAATTATGGTAAATATCTTATCGAAACAATAAATAACAGTAAACTATAATATTAAATGTGTAAAATATAAGCTACCTGAAAAAAAATCAACTGCAGTAAATAGAATAATTTGCGATAAAATTAAGCTAAAATTGAAAAGAATAAATTGTCGTCTGCTGTCAGATTCGTGACAAAATAACATCGTGTAAGAACATTGTTAAAATATTTCAAAAATAGAATAAATCAAATTTCAGTATATCAAAATCTTACCATTTTATACTACTAATACTAAAAAATTCCGATCAAAAGCGCAGTTTTTTTTAAATAATTAAAATGTTTATCACTGGTGCAAAATGGAAAATGCGCGGATAACTGAAAGACATATAATGAATCCATAAATAGAAATTTATTACTTTTTGACAAGCTGAGCCAACCATGCGAAGGAGAATCAAGGATTAAAGGTAAGAGGGTGCATATTATTTAGAAAGTAGAAGACACACAGTGATTAAACCATTGCAATATTTTAAGAGCTGGAAATGATATATTGTCGTGAAAGAGTCACACTATTACCTCAATTAATCGGCTAGGATTGTGCCCGTAAGGCCTTAGCGTTCAGGGACGTAGCTAGGTCAAAATCATATGGTTTGCACGATTTCTCGAGCGGCTGGAAGGAGCGGTGATCTGAGCTCTGGTGCCAGTGCCTGACAATTTTATGAGTCCACATTTGTCACAATAACGCTTTCTTGATATTTCTACGGCGTTTAGAGTTTTTTAAGTGCCTGTAGTTTAATGACATTTAATGCTAATTTCTCGTGCATATGTTATACAATACCACTCACAAACTAACCTATTCACAAACTCACTCACTCACTCACTTAATTCCTCACTTGCTTGTTTAATTCCTTACTTACTTACTAGCCTACTAAATCACTCACTTGTTTACTCACTCACTCACACACTCACCCACTCACTCACTCACTCACTTCATCACTCACTCACTTTGCAACTTGCTATTTCTTACTTACTTGCTAACTTACTTACATACTTTACTTACTTACTTTACGTACTTACTTGAAATACTTTCTTGATTGCTTGCCTCTTTTCTCACTCTCTCCCATGTTTACTTACTTACTAACTTACTTGCTTACTTGATTAATTTCATTCTTTATTACTTTACTTTACTAATCTGCTAACTCACTCACTTACTCACTTGATTGCTTACTAATTTTACTTTTCTTTAATTAATAAACTTCTACTCAATCACTCTCTTCCTCTCTTCCTGTCTCTTTCACTCACTCACTTACACACTCACTGATTCCCTCCCTACCTTCCTCCCTTCATCCCTCACACATTCAATCTATATTATTTTGTTTAATGCTAAGTTCTTTCATGATTAAACTTGCTGTGTCCCATCTAATTTTTTTTTCGTCAACGATATGTATTTCTTTCCCTATCGTTCCATTTCCCCCTCTTCCCTAACCCTTTGGTACGTCCCTTTCGCTTACAATTTTATCCTTGTGTCTGGCTTTAAATAAAAAATCTTCTTTATGACTTTTTGATAATTATAATTTTAATAAATAAAAACGCCCAGTCGGTGTTTCTACCTTTTGATGCCCTATTTGACTTCCTCTTGGTGGTCACGTGTTGTTTAAGTATGCGTTAAATGAATGCCGCCCTTCCTTGTTGATCTTTTCATATTTTCACGGTATGGAATCACGTGCCTTTTACGGTAACGCGCACTGACAATATGGCGGCCTAAATACCACGATTCGCATACATTTTTCAGGTATTTCTTCATTTATACCCCTTATATTTACATACGAGAAAAACTGTTGCCTTTGCGGAATAACAAATTGCTACCGCCTGTACTTTATTTTCCACCCATGTGCTAATGATTTATACAAACACTCAAAAATTCAACCGAGATTTTAAATGTCGAGAAATATTTTTTTTCTTTCTTTTTTTAAAAATGATGAAACAATGTTGAGTTAGCAACGAAAAAGGGGTCATAGATTTTTTTATTTGAAAATGTGAATATGAGGTGTTTTGAATGTTGACTGGTCATTTTCTTTTCAAGTTTAATAGAACAAAATATTTGGGTTACAAACACGGGTTCTTGTTTTGTTGATAACTCCCACGCAATATTTTATGTGCAAGCAGTTATATAACAATTACCATTTATGCAATAATGAATAGGCGACAACAATTTTTTATCCCTTGTAGGCTGCAGCAGGTCTCATATTGTCAGTGCGCGTTACCGAAAAAGGCACGTGATTACCTATCGTGACTTTCTATATGTGATTCTTGAATTTCTTTTTGACTAAATGATTTACTTACTTACTGACTGACGGACGTTCTAACGAATAATAATGTGGCTACTCTATTGTTCTCTCTATTGTTCTTTTTATCCACACAAAAGAAAATAGCCACATTAAAGCATTACGGATTGAATGACATCAAAGAGACAGAACAGTTACCTATTGTCCCTATAGCCAAATTATTACCTTCCGGTGAGAGCGGACGCACGGACGGAAGTTCTAACGGGACAGTAATTATGTGGCTACTCTTTTGTTCTCTCTATTGTTCTTTTTAGCCACACAAAAGAAAATAGCCACATAAAAGCATTACGGAATGAATGACATCAAAGAGAAAGAACAGTTACCTATTGTCCCTCTAGCCACATTATTACTGTCCGGTGAGAGCGGACAGACGGACGGACCGACCGACTGACTAACTGACAGATAGACTGACTGACTGACATGATTAGTCTCTCATCATAGGCATAAGTTAGGCCGAAATATAGTATCTTTTCTATGTATTCTTACTTTTATGTTCGAGGGTCTCATCAAGGGCCGAGCAGTTGCTGTTGGTTACAACAAACATATATGACAGCACTATTTAGAAAATATGGTTAAAGCTATTGTGTGTGATCTTACGACACGTCTTAATGTATTGAAAAAAGTTGTTTGCAATGCGATTAAATTTAAGAATTAAAAAGTTTCAAAATCTCTCACGCCCCTTAGCATCGACTAAGATTTGTTTACATACTCATCTCTTATTTAGAAGAACAAGGAAATACACTACACATAACACATGTGGACTTTGATTGATTGATTGATTGATTTTCTTTAGACCGGGCGGTCAAGGATAACCTACGAAAGTGCAAGCACTTATTTCCAGTAGGGTCCTTACCTCAGCAGACACTAGAGACAGCTATGAGATACAAGGAAATCCGGGAACCAGTCCCTAGTTCTTATTGAATAGATTCCTTGGTTTCTTTTACATGCCCAGTGTATAGCACTGATACATGCGAGGATAACCTGGGTTTCGTACCAGTAAACCTCTAGTTAGGTGGGAAACACTGAAAGTGTTTCTGAAAAATCCCAAGGGTGTTACCCAGGATCGAACCCGGAACCTCAGGAGTGACAGTCAGTGGTCTAACCAACTGAACTATCGCGCCACCTTTTACTTTTCTAAATAAACTGATATTACTAAAATAAGATAAAGCTTAGTTTGCCTTTTACAACATACATATTCAAATACATAACTAAAAGTATGATTACTTGAAACACATGATTTTTATAATTTCTTACTTTTTGGCGGCGAAAGTGATGTACAAGTGAGTCCAATGCAAGTGTAAAGCGAATGAATTAGTGAAATATACATAAGCATAACATCACTCACAGTGTTATTGAACCCCTATATTATAATCCAATGTGCGATTATCATTTCTTGTGAATTAAGTATGTGATAGACAAAAGAAACCCCTATTTTTCCAATAATGTTACTGTTCCTTACCTTTTTTCTGTCTCTGATATGTTTCCTGCGACATCGTACTACTGGCTCCAGCTATACAAAGTAGAAAACAAACATGTAATGAATGATAATTAGCGTGGTTTCTCAAAATGATAAAAAAATGCTGTTGATAAATGCATTTCCCACGATTGACGTTACAAATTCTATTTGTAGGACAATATAATGCTGGGAGGTCCGATATACTGAAAGATATTTCTTAAGAGGTAACCACACACGGCAGAGTAGGGCCGCAAAATGAATAATGATCCCGAGGGCTTTAGCCCATGTGCATTATTCATTACAGGGCCGATTATCACCGCACATAGAGTTGCTTCTCTTATATGCGTACAAAGTCCTCTAAAATCTAGAAGGAAATTTTGTGTTATCGAAATAAAATTGTCGCATTTTTTTGTTAAATTTCAATAAATATATGTTGTAAAAATTACGCTTAACTTCTCATTTTAAAATCAACCGATCCGTGCTTTAAACCTACTTTCACTGCTATGTGTTTTGATGTGAAATGTGTCGCCATTGATTGAACTTTTGCCCGTGATCATGTTCAGCGGGTCGGTTATGATCATGAGTTTTTGGCCCTGGACGCAACTTCATTATCGGTCACGTGACATTCGTAATCAGCTAACACCATTTGCAATTTTGCTACTATATATAGTCACAAGTGTGTTAATATACTATAACGCATTTTCCTAAAACAAATGATATAAGTTGAATCAATCATATTGTTTTAATCATAAAAAGTTTTGTAAAAATACACAAATTGTTGGCAGTCAGGTTATATATCGCTCCTTGTTATTAAATAGCCTTGCGGATACACACCGCTTAATTTAAGCGGTCCAACAAAAACATAATAGTCCCCCCTCCCCCGAGGTGGTCACTACACTTTTTGTTGGGGACCGCTGACACTTATATAAATAAAGAAGGATTTATTTACGGTATAATATAAACATATTTATGATAAGGGAAATCAATATTTCCTATATAGTCATTTTTACAATAAACATTCGACAGGTCTTATTTGACCATTTTCCTACTTAGAGGGCTTAATTCAATAATCCGTAAAATTTACTAACATGAGGGCTGTTTTCACTGTTTGCCTAAAGTTTCTCAAAAGTATATTGGCTTATCTTGTGTCAAATTGAAGTATTTTAACGTGTAGTTTTTTTTTTATATATATTAGACTTTGAAAATATCAGGTACCATATTGCATATAAAATGTGGCATAATTTAGCCGAAAATACTTATAATAATATTATAATTAAAATAAAACACTTTTTTAATGTCCAAGACTGATCCGAGGGACACTTTAATAATGTTAAAAGAAAGAAGTAAGACAGAAGTCCCCCCCCCTGGGGTTTGAACAAGCGCCCCTCAGTTTAGAGGCAGTTGACAGTATTTCAAGAATATTTGAACACTCTTCACAGCGGAGGTAATGTATTGGGGGGGGATACCTTAACACATTCATCATATCATTATTCATATATATTAGGATACTGTATTATACAGGACGACGGACCGACAGCTGTCCACCCTAAGTTCGGTTTTCCTTTTTTGGACCACTTACGATGACGCAGTCAACCTTGGCAATGGAAAACAAGCGGGAGAAGAAGTATCTAATTCATTGGGTAGTCATCTGGGGAACTGGATTATTTTTGAAAATAGCCAGTATACTGCTTCGTTGCAATAGAGACATAATCATAAAAATCTGATATTTATAGTATTACATAATAATCAAAGACCAGGAAGAAAGAGGATTTATCGAGAAACATTCTTTGCATACTGCCCAGTCCACAACAAAACGTGTCAACATTAAAGACAATGGCAAAGATTTACGACCCACGTGGTGCCGACCTTATCATTCGCGCAAAAATCTTACTTCAAGATATATTTAAAAATAAAAGTTTTAGTTAGACACGCCCTACCAGAAGATCAAGAGATGAAATGGCATTCATTTTGTAAAGACTTAGACAGTGTTAGCCCTACTAGACACAAGGGGAGTTACTTCAAGAGAATGTTGATTTAAAACTGCATTCCGTTCGGTACAGACAACAGTGCTGCCAGGACATCTTCAGAAATTAACCTTCATTTGATTTGTGATACCTACCTTAAAGCATACGGATATGCGATGCACATTACACGTGACGATCAAACGTGTTTAACCCAGGACAAGTCGCACAGTTGTCAAGGACATTTGTCGCACCTTGAAAACTACACACATTCACGGGGGAGGAAGTGTTACACTATGGAACATAATTAATGCATTTATTCTATCTTGCTTGATGACATTGAAACTTGCATTATTCTTAATTCCAACTTGCTTGATGACATTGGAACTTGCATTATGCTTGATTCCATCTTGCTTGATGACATTGGAACTTGCATTTTGCTTAATTTCATCTTGCTACATGACATTAGAACTTGCATTATGATTGATTCCATCTTGCTTTATGATATTTAAACGTTGCATTATTCTGGATTCAATTTTTCATTATTTCATTCAAACATTTCGTAGTGACCAATTCTTTCATTGAGTGATAACTATTAAACTGGAACAAGCCATTTGGAATACTAAAATGTTAACGTCTTATACCTTTATGTATAAGCTACCTTTCTTCATGCTCTATACAAACTATTTACGGTTTAGTTTTTTTGTATTACTTTTATGTAGAAGTCATTTAAAATTGACTATTTTTTGTTCCCTGGTGGATTTTGTTAAAATGTGACTTATTTGATTTACAGCTCGCATGGCGTGATTACTGTTAGCTTTCGCTTATTTCCATTATTCAGTGTTTATGCTTAATAAAGCTCGGTGTCTGAGGCTTTGTGGATTATGTTTGATCATCTTACATTATGATAAACAATTTAAACAATGTCTAGCGATTTGTGAACTGTTAAGGGGCGAGAACTCTGTTATCGATATCAACGAATTTTTTTCCATGATTTGCCTATCATCGGAATTTTCCGTACATGTATATATTACGGAATACCGTTAGGGCCATCGTGGTTATACGTTAAAATACAGAGGGCGACAATGCTATAAATACGTACCAAGCGCTTAATACATAAATTGCAGTGGAAAGAACATAAATACAAGTAGTAAGGATTATGTAATATAATTTTATACATGTATATGTATACAGTCTAATAGAAAAAAATATGCTCGTAAACAGTTATTCAATGGGGCAGTTATACGTACAGTGGCGGATTCAGGCTTTGGCTTAAGGGCTGCACCTACCCCTAAAGATACGTTGATGAGCTGGGATGGAATATATACGTGTAAGTTTCATGCAATAGTGGTCATAGTGTACTCCCTTCTCAAAACATATAATGCTGTCATCCAGTTGTTAAACACCTGCCTAGGTACTGCGATTGCGAAGGTCTTTATCTAATGACTTGGACATTAAAAGCAAAACTTATTAATTGGCCTTTTAACTTAATAAATGTCTCAAAGTCACTAATAGTGGCGAATAGGTATGTAACACATTAAAATATACATGTATAATAAGGAAAGAAGGAAGTTGTTTATTTTTGTGACATGTGCATAGTCAATTACAAATGTTGGGCATATGTGTGTCTGATTATAGATCAGACGTCCCGCACACACCACCACATTCACATACATTTGTGCTTCAGTAATATATTTTTATCACAAAAATTCATTGAAATCTATAAAATTCTTACTAAATATGTTTTATTTAAATAAAAACACATACACATAATGTATAGGAATCTGCTTTCCTTATTACGGGTCAAGTAAAGTTGTGCCTGTCTTTAAAAGAAACTTCTATATATATTTTTGTAATAACACTATACATGAATATTCATACTGCCCACTTACAGTGTAAAGTATTTAAAGCACAATGTTTGTGTGAAGCCAAATTATATTTATTTTATTTTACAAAAAAAAAATCAAGTTTGTACTGTACTAAGTCGTGGCCACGAGTTACTAAGTGACATGTGTGTGTTTTTATTTATCTCGTGCGCACGAGATACTGTGTCGTGGCCACGAGTTACTAAGTCGTGGCCACGAGAAAGTTAAGTCGTGGGAACGAGATACTATATCGTAGCCACGATATACTATGTCACGGCCACGAGTTACTAAGTCGTTTAAGTCGTGGGAACGAGATAACTAAGTCGTGCAGACGAGATAATTAAATAAGATTACACCATGATTTTTAAACTTAGAAACTTTCTGTTTAAAGATTTACGTGCAACATTAATCTTTGAAAATACTGAAATGTTCACTTTGAACTTAATACATGTCTTTAGAATCATAAGGCCCATAAATCAGACATTAATTTTGACTAAGTTATAGCCCTTTGTTGGGACAATTCTATGATAGAATTGGTCATTTTGTACGTACAAAGGCCTGTTAACATTGTTTATACCATAACTTGAGAGAGACTTAGTCCTGGGAAGGGACATTGCCCATGGACAGTAGATATCCTATAAGGATGTTTGAGGTCACAGGTCAGATAAACATGACACTTCATGAAAAATCCTTGTCTGATGAATGATTTAGAAAGAATAAGCCGTAGTTTATATAAACCTAAAAAGATCAGTACATGAAACCTAATAATTTTAGGCAATTTGGTCAGAAATCAGGGTCACAATGACGCTAAATCTTTGACCAATCAATAACTTGTATAAATGGCACTTTTACGGGCAAGTGAAGTAGGGGCATCCTTGTTAGGAAAATTCATATAAATAGTGTAATTTGATTGGCCACGACTAAACTTTCTCGTGGCCACGACATAGTAACTTGTTCCAACGACTTATTTATCTCGTGGCCACGACTTAGTAACTCGTGGCCACGACTAAGTTATCTCGTTCCCACGACTTAATTACCTCGTCGCCACGACTTAGTAACTCGTGGCCACAACATAGTATCTCGTTCCCACGACTTAACTATCTCGTGGCCACGACTTAGTAACCCGTGGCCACGACACAGTATCTCGTGCGCACGAGATAAATAAAAACACACACATGTCACCTTCGTGCCACCTTAAGTTTGATAAAATTCAATTTCACTTATCACA